CTCTGTAGTTATTCCTCAGAGCCTTGTACTGAGGTCTATTGTTTTAGGCTGAATTTTAATATATCGAAATTGGTCTATTAGTAATGGGTAGATCCAGAATATATCCATACCTCCCACACAGAACTGATTTTGTCTTAGACTGCACCCCCACTGCCCCGCCTCTCTGGAAATTCCAATTAAGCTTCATACATGTCTTTAATTTTTTTGGTCTTACAGAACCCTCCCCCAAGAAATTCCAATCCCTTCCGTGGGGGGAGTGTGGTTGGATATTTTCTGGAACTGCACAATCAATCTCAATTTTTTTTTTCTTCAGCATTTAATTCTGAACAATGTGAACACTGTTAAACATTGAAGAGAAATATGTTTTAAAAAACATTGATACATCACTGACCAGTTGCTGCTTATCAGCTTTTGAACAACTGGAATCAGATTTTCATTAAAAAATTGTCAATTTTTTATTTAAAAATGTACTTTTTCTCGAACAATCTAATTTCAATATTGAATACTGTAATCCCCTCTACCTATCTGGTTTGGTGTATATTTTACATGCAGTTCCAATATAGCCATAAACCGATCTGTATTTTACATATATTTAAAGCAATTAATACATAAAAAGAATAAATGTAGAATTAAAGAAAGAGGCACATTAGGTCATTAAGCCCAACACCCAAAGATCTATAGGAAAGCACCAGGATTAGCACGAGGGTCCTTCTGATTCCTGTAGCGACAAGCCATGTACACACCAAAGAGCTGCGAGAGATAGAAATAAGACAGGAAAGTTAGACAGATTAGAGGAGTAAAGATGTTTGATTTAACTTAAGATAGAGTCAGGAATTAAGAACCTTTATTTAGGTGTCAATACAGTTTCTAGTGCGTGATCTTCACTAATTAGAGACATATTGTAAATAATCAGAATTCAAAATTCTAAAATCTAAAGTTCCTCATATGAATTTTCCAAGATACAACTTAGTATTACCATCTAGCAAATGCTACCTCAGTATGTGTCCAGGAACTTGCATAGTTTATTACTGGTACATTTGTAATTGTTGTCAAGTTAAGTATTATTCTCAGTCAAATATTAGTCTTTGTTACGTATTAGTAATGCTTCGATATCATATGTCAGACCTCGTGCGTTGTCATTTTGCAATAGTTGTTTTAGACAAGAGAGCTTATTGCGAAGGTCACTGCATTTATCTTGTGACTTGTCTATTCAGGCGTTACAGAGAGGACAATCGGTAAGCGTGTATTTACTTCCTTGTCCTTTTCGTTGCCTTTCTTGGTCAATTGTATTATTAGATTTCCTCGCACTTGTGTATTTTAATATGTATTCGTGTTATGTAATGGTTATTTTAGTTTTAGTCTTTGGTGTTGCTTAGACTAGGTTTTTTGATTGTATATTTTTAGTTTGACGGTTTTGGACATCAAATCACGATTAATATGAATAAATCACGTTGGAATCATACTTAGTCTTTGGTGTTTGAAATCAGTACTTTGAGCGAAGTCCTCGTAATCTGTGTATCTTTTGCGACACTCTGACTTTGTTATGATGCCTGAAGCTACAATATTTGCTACAGATATCTTTTACTTCCAGTGCTAACTAGCCTTACCTACCTTTACTATCTAACTAAATTCACAACAAAACCACTTTCTTTATAAACATTGAAGCCCTTTTCCTTTTACCTCATGGTCTACTAAAATTAATACATTGTGTATTTCTGTTATAACTACAAACAAAGTACTACTTCATGTAGAACATTTTCCTGAAAATAAAGTCAAGTTATCATTTATTCAAACACGATTTTTGGCAAGTTTTTAATGGTGATAAGTGAACAAAGATGGTGAATTTTAAGCTTGGTGATGGAATGTGAAAGGTGAGTTGATCAACATGATGTTTGGTTATGGGTTCGATTCCTGTCAGGGATTCAGATTTTTTCTTTCTCCCACGCTCGTGTCATGTTGATCAATCCACCTTTCGCAAGTTTTTAATGATCTAGACCCTGGGAGAAACACTGCATGAAAACACTGGAAAATCTAGCAAGTGCTGTCAGTGGTGCTTTCTTGATCAAGTACATATTTATATCACTGGTAGTTATAGGAATT